TACTACTACTAAAAAATAATAACAATAATAATAATATAAAATATAACATTGCAGTTTTTGGGATACCTGAATAGACATAAGGGTCTTGAACATCTAGTTCTCACTGGCAAAATTAGAGATAATGGTGGAGATGAGAGATGATGTGGGATTGCGTTTAAGTAATGATAACATTAGTTCTATCTTCCTCTGCTCCAATGAGTCACGAGGGACGTGGGCACCCTCTATCCCGTTCCCTACTGGAACCATCTTTAATGTCACCGTGAAGTTCCAAAATGGTTACATCTTTACTTCACCTGTTGACTGCTGTGTAGACACATACATTCACTTGTCACCATCATCATCAATGCCTTTCACCCCTGGCAGTGTATAGGCCACGTACAAGCTCCTTCCATTTATCTCTTTCCTGGGCCATCCTTCCAAGCTCGTTCCAAGTGAGCTTCATCTCTCTCATGTCCCTTTCCACGCATCTCCTCCATGTTTCCCGTGGCCTACCCCTGCCTTGTGCTCCCTGTGGGTTCCACTGCAGTGACTGTCGTGTGATGTTTCCGCTGGGCTTTCTGGAGGTGTGCCCTGTCCATCGCCACTTTCTTAGTCCTATTTCTACTTCTATATCCTTTTGTCCTATCCTTTCCCACAGCTCTTCATTTCTTATTCTATCCTGCCACTTAATTCTTAGAATACTCCTCATACATCTGTTGATGAACGTCTGGACTTTATTCAGAACTGTCTTCGTTGTCTTCCAAGTATACATTCACTTGTGTTCTCTCAAAAACTGCTTCACTGACGTTAATTATTTTCTTCAGATTTACGGTGAATGTTTTTAGAAGATGTGCATGTACTTGCAAGTTGCGTACAATGTTTGTTATTTGTAATAGAAAGTAGAAGACATAATATATTATGGTATTTTAAAAACTCTTTTGAATGAACCTCGTGTCTAGTCTATACACATGCACATGTACATGGAAATGCAACAGCACTGAAAGGGTTAACATTATTTGGCGAGTTTAGATTGAATTAAATTGCTGACGTAACGTTTCGAGTTTTCTGTTGAGCTTAAGTCTAAATTTTGTCCCCCGTTGATTCCCATTCGATAGAAACTTTGTGTGTGTTATCTTGCCACGAGTTCATGGGCTTGTGTGTGTGTGTGTGTGTGTGTGTGTGTGTGTGTGTGTGTGTGTGTGTGTGTGTGTGTGTGTGTGGCTATTTTTATTTATTTATTTATTCTTTTGTTTTTGCTCTGTTGATAAAGAACATTTCAATAATATGTGGGTGGTTGGAGGGTGCTCTGGTTTGGTTTGCTCCTTTTTTTCTATCAAACATCTATCGTCCTGATCTCTCCTTTTTTAAACATTTGTTACTCTCTTGTAACACCTCTAATCTTAGGCACTTATATGACCTTATTGTGTTGCAAGTGCCGTAAAATTCTTACTAAAACCCCCAAAAATGCTTCCAATAACATGAAAACCTTTCCCCTCCAACATGAACGTTAGAGTGTACACAAAGATAACCCCGGGGCGGTGCCACTCACTGTAGTGACCCCCCGGGCCAGTGCCACTCACTGTAGTGTCTTTAGGCCAATCCCAAAGAGGGGACATTTCTCGTTCAAGCGCAGTAGAATTGTAAATAGGCTAATTCATGTCACGCTCATAACTGTGCCTGATCTACAACAGGGAACTGCTGCTTTTTCTTTCCTAATCCTTACTATGGTCATTTTCCTCTACTTCTTTTGTATGTTTGTCATACTCTTGTGACCTGCTATTTCCGAGGTGCCTTGATAGTCGAAGCAGACTTTGTGCTGTTGAAGCAAGAGAGGTGAGCAGAGTAAGTCTGATTCCCTGTAAAGACTTCTCTGTTGACACCCACCACTTGGCGCTCATATGACCTTATGCAGTTGCGAGGGCCGTAAAACCCTCTACTATATTTTAAAAAAAAATAAAGATAAGAATCCTGAAAACTTGGACAGGCGTGTGTGATCCTTGTGTATGGATGCGAGAGCTGAACGCTGAACAAAAACACCGACAAAAGACTGAAAGTGAAAGCTTTTTTTTCTTCTTTTGTTCTTTTTTGGGGGGTTCTTTTTTCCCCTATTGATAAAAATACGTTTGCTATTATAATATTGTTTATTTATCACTCCCCCCCCCCCAACAACAACAACAACAACACCACACACACACACACACACACACACACACACACACACACACACACACACACACACACACACACACACACAGAGAGAGAGAGAGAGAGAGAGAAAAAAAACAGCAACACGGTTACGGCAAGTCGATACACTATTTCCAGTGGTACAAATAAAGAAATAGTACTTAAAGTAAGCTATTATTTAAATCATAAAGAAACCTTGACATGTCCTAGCAAACAAACAAGCAAACAGACAAAAAAGCCAGACAGACAAACAAACAAACAAACTTTAAAAAACCACGTTATTTTACACGGTCAGTTAAATGCTTGGGTTTGAATGTTATGAGACTATAAAATTAGATCAAAACTTCGTTTTCAGCCCAGTAAAGATAATAAGGAAGTATATTGATACAGAATTAAATACATTTGCATTAAGAATTTCATTTAAGCTTGAGCGGAGAGCGCGACTGGTCACGCACATACAAACAAGAGGTCTCCAAGCGTAAAACTAAAACATAAAAAGAGAAATGTGTCTTGACGTTCTCAAAATATATCAGAACGTAAACATACGTGTTACGACGCGGTGGAATCAGGCGCTCGTCAAGTTTTGAGCATGATGAGCTATTGGTATAATCTCAAAGAAAAATCATTTGTCTTGCTTTATGTGAAAAAAATATCCGTCTATCTTGAATAAAAGTTGAGAAATTTGCGATTGAAGGAGGTGGGGGTGGCCTGGTGTCAGAGGTGAAATTAGCCAGAAAGTGACTGCCAAATTTGGTGACTTCCAATAATTAAGTGTCCTTCTAGCTTCGATCAACGTTTTTCGGTAAAGTATATCAAGAAAATGTGATGTTTTAAAGGTCATAAAAGGTCAAGGAGTTAAATGTGAACATTCGTTTTAAAAAATCCCCAACGGCCATAAATATACATGTTTCTTTGATTTCACTATTTTGACATATATGTGATTCAGCGTGGTGGAATCAGGCTCTCGTCAATTTTTGGGCGTGTAGAGTTATTGGTATCATCTTAAAGCTTGTTCACTTGTCTTTATTTGGATGAAAATAACATCCATTTATCTTGAATGCAAGTCGAGATATTTGCGAATGAAGGGTTTTCAGAGGTAAAATTAGTGAGAAAATGGCCGCCAAAGATGAGTTATTTCCTTAGTTTAAAAGTCCGTGGTAATAGAAAATTTACATTTTTTTAGTGCCTTTAATCAACATTTTTCAGAAAAATCTACACAGAAAGTAGCTCTTCAATGGGCATGAAAGGTGTTGAGCCAAAAAACAAAAATGTAATAAAAATTCACAAACCTGCGGAAAAATGCAAGTTTCTTCACTTTGATCATTTTGACGAGAGCCTGATTCCACCATGCTGCCTCACATATTATTACTCTCGTCTATAAAAACAACATTAAAATATTATTGGCTTTCTGTAAGCAGAAAATGTCAGTGATGGTTCATTTTCGTTCTCCAGGTCATTCTGTTTGATAACGTGTTCTCAGATAAACAGCTGGAGTTCAACAGGACTTCAGGCTAATTTATGAATACAAAAGTTTTTCCCTTCGACCAAGGAGAGTTTAGGCCCTTGCGTTGCGCCTTCAATACTGTGTGTCACGACGCAGCGGAATCAGGCGCTCGACAATTTT